CGGCCGCCAGGTTCCCGGGCCCCCCCCCCCCCCCCATTACGGTCAGCTCGGGACCGGGGCTGAACCGGCTGACAGGCTGAAAAGGCGAAAGCAAGCACCTACCTGTAAGGGTGAAGGGGACAAAGCTCTCCCGTTTGACCTTCATGCTCAGGTTGAAGAAAGGCAGAGGAAGGACGTGCCGCTGTCTCCCCTTGTAAAGCAAGCCTAATCCTTGCAAGGATACGCAACTGCTTTTTAAAAACAATTTTCACAGTGTAACTGGAAGTTTTTGCTCGTTTGATAGGGATGTCGGCACGACCTTCAGTAACTCTGTTGTGAGGTTTCTGCTTATCACAGCTAAGTTTGGGCTGAATTTCAATAGGTTTCAAAGCATGCTTATGCGCACAGTTCTCTTTGCCCATAAAACTTCAGGGGCGTTGGCCCATCTGCCCAAGCCAAACACAGCATAAGCGACTGCAAAAACCAAGGCCTGGTTCATTATAGTGGTACAAAAAGCACAAAATCCAACCAAGTCTTAGGAGAGCAAGAAACAATTCTCATTTTAATCACTTTTGTATTATACATCCTTTGCAACTATGTTTTTCAGGTAGAAACATAGACAAGAGATTCTAATACTTGAGGATACACTGAAAATCATGGTAAATGTGAACAGAATGCAAAAAAAAAAAAAAAATTAAAAAAATTTACGCAACTCGCTTTCCATACCCTGACAGATCGTTCCCTGCACTGCTGCTTACAGGTCTGTCTGTCAGACTGGAGGAGCAAAGGAAAATCTCCTTTTTGACCATTTCTGTTCACAACCTGGCTTGATTTCACAGTTCTGCTGCTTTAAAAATGCTGTCGGCAGCAGCTGAAACAGCTACAAAACAGAAACCGCTTGAGATGACAACCAAAAGCACGTGGCCACAGCTTCATTTCCAGCGTGGTTGTGACTCAGGTAACTATACCCTTCCAAACTCCCCTCGTACAGGTAACAACAGGCATGAAGATAAGTCACATGGACTGGCGGGGTATAAGCACCTTAATCTTTTACATGCACATCAAGTTGGTTCTACCATGCTTTTACCACTGTTGCTACACCTGTAGCTTGAGCAGATTGCAGAAAGCGCAGCTATCGTTGTGCTTGCATTGGCAACATGCCAGGTAGGAAACACAGTGCCACAGAAGCCTAAATCCAGGAACACAAAAAAACCCAACCCTATTTGGGATCCAAACACTGCATTTGCTCTCTCACACACAGCATCTCATCGCCGCAGCTCTCACCGTGCCTACCATGCCAGGAATGACAGTCCAAAAACCCCAAAGAGGCGGTAGCAGCAACGGTTACAGTTTCGCAATAAGAGAGCAGGGTAGGAACACGGTGGAGGAAGAGGAGGCGACGGGATAACGCAGGAGGGAGGCAGTCTCCATGCCCCTTAGAGCTCTGCCAAGTCTGAGCAAATCGCATCACTTCTTACTCACATGAAGCTGTGTTGCATGCATAAAGTAACACCCAGGGTACAGCGAGTTACCTCCCAGATGCCAAAGGGTGCTCAGAGACCAGGAGACGGGGAAACTTCAATTCCAGCAAAGACTAACAGCGACTGACAGCAGGAGGGGGAAGAGGATGCAAGGGAAGGCACGTTGTCCACTGTTCTTGGACTTCAGGAAGAACAGAGCTGGCTTCTTCATTGAGACCAAGTTTTTCTCTTCTTGGGGCCATTCAACTTCTGAAGGAATCTCCGAGCCCTCCATGCAAATGCTTAGGAGTGAAAGCGTATCTGGAAGAGACAAAAAGAAACAGCTGAAGACGACAGAAGTGTATGCACTAAAGCTGTGAGGCACAGCAGAGAGTGAAAAGAGGATGTAGAAAATACAGCATATTGAGAGAAAAAAAAACATATGGAGGCTGCAAAAGGAGCAAAGGAAGTGATATGAAAGAAAACACAGGAAAAGGTATAGCATAATGATAATAAAGGAAAAAAAAATCACTGAACAAACCCCAGAAGATTTAGAAATGTGCATATCTTAAAAAAAAATTACTGGGCTAACTTAAAGTATGAAACTGTGCAAGAAATGAAAGGAAGGGTCCTATTTTCACACTAGGAAAATGTGTTATAATAGAGGACCGGATATTACCAGTATGCAGTCTTCATTACGCAGAGTAACAGAAATGCAAAAAGTCAGCCAGAACAACAAGAAATAAAGAATCTGGAATTTTAAAACTACCTTCATAACTGAATGGGTTACAGCACACATAAGAAAAGTTACTTTTGTCACTACCTGGAGTTTGGGGTTCTTTTAATGTTTATTTTCTTGGGCAACTGCTACCACCAAAAAAAACCATGTATTGAAAAACTTTGAATTAAGTCATCATTCTTGTCTACAGCTTCTCCCCCCCCCAAGACTTCCTCCAGGACGTACTGATAAACATGGTAACTGCTTTTCAAAGTCAGTTGAAGATAGATTTGATAGCTGTTCATTCCATGAATTTCCAGCCTTGGAGAACTGACTTGCTTTGCTACTTCAAGTAACCCACGAGTGGGCTCCTCTGACATTCACATAGAAGTATCTTCTTTACCTTCCAGGCCTAGGAAAGCGTTATGGCAAACAACAGTTCAGGTTTCCTTCCCAGGAGCTATTAGGCGATGATATACAGCCCGTAGTTTGGTCTGCATACCCCCTTTCCAACAGCTGAGACTTCTACAGTGCACATGGAATCGGTCTCTGCTCTACTAAGCTTTCTCCAGGGTTTCAAATAAGGTATTTAAAACACAGACCAACTACCCACCCTCCAAAATTCCTGTCCAGAGAGCAGGCTTTAACTCATCCAAAGACAGACCCTTATAAAGTCCTCAGATCTTAAGTCAGTTTCACACCCAACCCTTGGCTTTTAGTGTCCTACAAGGCTATAAAATCCATCTAATATGCCTCAGGGGGTTTAATCTGTCAGTGATCCTTTTTACAAAAGTTTTATTTTCTCTCCGATTGATAAATCATCAATTAAGTACAACCAGCAAATCAGCTGAAATGAGAAACTTGTAATATTTGCCTTAAGCTTTTCTTAAATGACAGAGACTTGGCAACACTACAGAATTAACTTAAGCATGTAACTCCAACACGAGGGGAAGAAATATGTGTGAAGATTTAATCTCATTAGTTAAAATTGTTCATTTTAGTGGGAAAAATGAAAAGCTTACCATGAAACGTTAAATAGCAACAAGGAACAGCAGCTCTTCAGGAAAAGACGCTGGAAGAAATGAGATACTGTAGATAAGAGCAGTAAAAATTAAGGAACAGAAAATTTCACACACGCACACAAAACCAAAAGTGAGAACGAGCTAGTTGGAAATGCAGAAATAGATATGACCAAAAAGGTTAAGTAATGGGAATAGAGCTGCAGATGTGAATGTATTTAGTAATGAAAACTATGAAGTGGAATCACGACTGGCTCTTTAATATCCTCAGTAACCACACCTCTGCGTTCAGGTTGCATTTGAGTAGGGGTTTTCTAAATTTACAGTCAGTGTTACAGTCTGCCTTGTTTTTTCTGTCTTGACTGATGATCTTTTACGGAGGTGCCTCTTTCTTTTGGACATTCAGGTGACAGATGCCAAACCAAACATTACGCTATGAATAAGTCCAACCCCTTGTTCTGTCAGGCACCATACACCGGCAGCTTCAAAGCCTTATAAAACATTTAAAAGTACAACAGGAAGGTACAACAAAAGAATTAGGCATATACTTTTATACTGTTAGAAGCTACGAAGCTTGGTTGACTGCGCTGAGCTACTAATAACAAGAACGTGGAGCTTAGCCGCGCGGTGAGGCACATTAAGTCCCAGCAGAGGAAAGCCTACCTGGATGTGCACCTGCAGCGCCTGCTGGTTTGGGGAACCCAAAGCTGCATCATGAAGCCACAGAAGCCATCTGATGAGGCGGGAAGGTCATGCAAGCACACACACCCCACAAGGAGGCTTTAAGTGAGGAAGAAAGATCGGAAGGTTAAGCGAACAGAGGGAAGAAGAAGGGAGGAATGGGCACGAACAATGGGAATGGGTAGCTGAAAACAGACAGTAGTGGGAAATAGGTACAGTTAAAATGCCTCGGCAAAAAAGATTCACAGCATTAGAGGCTTAGCCATTGGGCAAAAATATATTCTTAATGGAACGCAGCGAGTAAAACAAAAAAAAAAAATTATCCAAGTCCTAACATTTTAAGAATTATGTAACTGTATTAAGAAGTCGTCCTGGATGCTGCTTGCTATCCGGTAAAATTCACTAAAAGAAAGCAGTTTTATCTCTAACACTGCAATGGCCTATATTAATACAGCATTATGTAAAGTGACATTGCTAATCTATTTTTCACAAATAATGTACAGCATTGCAACACTTAGTAAATGAAACAGAACGCCAGTCAGAACTTTGCTAGACTTGTCATACCACTGAGCAGTAATTATCCCATCTGCAAAAAGTTACAGTAGAAAAGGGGGGGGGAAAAAAAAAAAAAAAAAAAAAAAAAAAAAAAAAAAAAAAAAAAAAAAAAAGGGAGTTCTGACAGATTTTATATACCTTGTACCAACACTAACCAGGGGCAATCATCAGCTTCTGGAAAACATGGTAGTAACTTCTTGTGGCAAATACATGTGCAAGAAAAAGAGAAGAATATATGAAAGTATGCCTCTCTGCACAGTGCAGGATGAACGAGCATCTTGGGTTTAGCACAACTGTAGCTCCATCGAGTTTCAGGAAAACTGCAGAATTCAGCTTAGGAAGAAACAAGTTCATTCATCAGCTCTGTGCGCTGTAGACAATTACTGCCTCTTAGAACTTCAAAAACATTAAAACAGCTATCATAATTGTTCTGTGACTTAGGTACTTTTCTCTTTTTCTTTCCAGATTCTTTTTCCCCTTCTTTATTTCTGCAACTTGCATTTCAGTATCTTTCTCACTAAAAATCTGAGTAAGACAAAATGATTAATACCACCAATTTCCAACTGCAATGCTCTAATCTATTTAGTTACATTCCATAGCAAAATCTGTGCAGCTAAATATTTGCAAAGTATTTCAAAGCGATGCAAACAGTCAGAATCAGACTTGTCAATCAATTGATGGTGAATTAAGAGACCACCAGCAACCAACAGTGGAGTTACCAGAAGGGCTGAAAGGTGCTGCATCCCCTTCCCACCACGTAACACCAGCCACAATAAGGCTGAGCAAAAACTGTGACACAAACTACACCAGTAAAATCTGAAATCCAACCACAGACAAACTAAAACTGGTGTTGGGGTTCACCTACCTCCTTAAAGAGGGACTGGAATTCTGTTGTAGCATGCAGGATGTCTCTGTTCTTTCATGCTGTGCAAACAAGCTAAGATGTGAGTCAGAACTATACTCCACTAGATACTTTCCAAAATATAAAAAATATGTACTATATTTGTGTTTATCAGCATCTTATAGACACGTAGATAGTTATGCCAGCTATTAGAAATCTTTATTTCTAAAAGAAAACAGACCACTCGAGAATTAACACTCAGGTGAGTATTCCAACTTTGTTGGGAAAATAAACCTACAGCACAGTTATTTTTTTCAGAGGGGAAAAAAAAAAAAACAAAAACCAAAACCAAACCAAAACTAGAACCCCACTACTGTCTGTAAAAAGGGCATAGCAAATCAGTTTCATCAGGCCACATCATGAATTCTCCTTCAAATGACAAGGTTGTGTCCTTGTTTTCCTTTATCCTCATAAGTATCACGTTGTAGGACACTATTGCTGGAGTGGTGTGTTTAATTTCCACCTCCCCATGCTTGCATATCATCTTGGATTAAGCAGGTGCATGGGGTTTTTTTAGCTAAACTGCTGGCCTTCCACTGGGAGTTCATAATTTGATTCACCCTTAACACACACTAAGCATAAAAGCACGGAAATACATGATTTCTGAATGTGGCACTGCAATCTTGCTTCCTGCTTTCAGTTCCATGGATGTTTGAAACAAGCTGGTTTACTTGATCAAAAATAAAAAGTGCCTGCAAAGAACACCTGGATTTATCTTTGTACTTCTGTTGGTGAATAATAAAAAGATTGAGATTTTTTTTTCTTCCTCTCCCCCCCCTCTCGTATTTGAAAGGACAGAGAGGTATTTTAAACTTTGAACAAATGTTAAAACTAAAAATTAGTCTAATTAATGCCAAAAGCATTAAATGCAAAGCAAATGAATTGCTTAACTTCTTTAAATATTTGGGAAAAATGTGTTTACATAGTGTTCCCTCCCCAGTTTCTCTGTGCTGTTTGCCTAAACAGCCAAGTCACAGTCACTTACTGTACTATTGTATTGGGAGAGATGAAACGCACATGGAATGTCAGAGCACACGCGTATGGTTAAAGTTTGTTATTCAAGCTGAAGGCCTAGAGAGAAGCAATACGAAACCCCAGGTACCTGCAGTTAGGCCAGGTAAATTTGAGTCCACCCCTTCTTTCCATCCATACCTAAGAGTTACTGGAGAGAAAAAAAAAACAAAACAAAAACCAAAAAAACCCAAACACCACCACCACCACAAAACCCAAAACATGATAACCTGGAACAATGAACACAGCTTTGAAGACGATCTCTTTATCTTTTCCACCAGCTATCACAGAATGGCTGAGGTTGGAAGCGATCTCTGGTGGTCCTCTGGTCCAACTCCTTCCTGCCCAAGCAGGAACCAGTTGCCCAGGCCCGTGTCCAGATGGCTTGTGAATATCTCTAAGGAGGGAGACTCCAACCTCTCTGGGCAACCTCTGCCAGTGCTCGGTCACCCTCATGGTAACAAAGAGGGGGGGGGAAATTTCCTTTCAGACAGAACCTCCCACATTTCAGTTTGTGCCTGTTACCTCAGGTCCTGCCACCGGGCACCACCAAGAAGAGCCTGGGCTCCATCCTCTTTGCACCTTCCCTTTAGGTGTTAATATACATCAGTGAGGTCGCCCCGAGACTCCTCTTCTCCAAGCTGAGCAGTCCCAGCTCTCTCAGCCTTTCCCCACAGGAGAGATGCTCCAGTCCCTGCATCACCTTTGGGGCCCTTCACTGGAGTCTCTCCAGTACGTCCACATCTCTCTCGTACTGGGCAGCCCAGAACCAGACACAGCACTCCAGGTGTGGCCTCACCAGTGCTGAGCAGGGAGGAAGGATCACCTCCTTCGACCTGCTGGCAATACTTTGTAGTAAGTATTAAGTAACTGTTCCAAAAAATGAAAATACTGTGTTCTGGGGATAGTTTTAGTGTGAATTTTTGTATAAACTCTAAAGCCTGTACTCTCCCCTTGTGATAGAAACAGAAGCTATTAAGCTACCAAGGGACCACAGCATGTCAGAAATACCATGATAAGGACCACTACAGGATAAAACATTGCTGTCATTTTCATCATCTTCAAAGACAATGATAATGCCTTATACAACCCACGCAAGTAGCATGTTGTCATACAACTTCCTACACTGCTTCCTGCATGAAATGTTCCCAGCAGCGTCTTACACTATTATAAATTAGCAGCAACCACTATAGCTCCCAGCACTATCAATCTACAGAGACACTACAAAAGTCACCTAACATTGTATCACCAGATGTTAGGGGAGATTTCGTACATCAAGTTGAATGCACAGGTGTCACCTGGCATAATTTCTGTGAGAAGATTTTGTATACCAGTTATATACTTGTTTCTTGTAAAGTCATTAACACATACCTGAGGTAGCTGGTTTCTCCTTATTATAGCAAGTTCAATGTTTTTTCCACCAGATTTCATAGCGCAGCATACAGCAAAGTCATTAAAACAAGTATATTTACCAAGTATTTTACATTTTCATGAAGGAAAGAAGCCCAAGCTTTTCTTGAAGCATTTATCGCGTGCCTTGCACTGGATTACCTCTTAGCAAAGCTGATTGATTGCTAATTTGACAGTGTCCTTTTGAGCTCCTGTAGCTTCTTCTGGGTAATTCTTCTCCCAAAACTCTTACCATTTTAACATTGCCACCAATTGCATTGGCCTGTGGAGGACAGAAGGGAAGTTATAAATCTCGCCACAACATAAATTAACTTACCTGCTGTAATCAATCTCACAAAGGCTCATGTACGTTTCATACAGGGACTCCCTCACTATCCCGATACAACGTGCAGTGCACAACCTGCCTGTCTGCCAGGTCAATGATTTCCCCTCGCAGCTTCTATTTAGCCTCTGCTAATGTTTCAATACTTGATCTGAGGGTATCCAAGAACTTAAGTGTTTGAGAACAGCAGTTCTCAACTTTTTCCTGCCATGCATGTCTTTTTCTTCATGTAAACTACACTAGCAAGTCTGTGTTTGCCAAAACCTCTTCTGATGTAGAGCTAGGGGAAGGACAGAAATTTCAAAACCCTTTAACACAGTCCCGTGAGCAACAGTTGAAGAAACTCAAATTAAATTCTGTCCACGGAAGAAGCATTCTGAATAAGCCAGGATGTAGAAACCTCACCAACCAGTGTAGATCTATATTCATAATTTTAAAAATGCCATGTTGTTTTGTGGGGTTGTTTTTCAGTTAAAAACCAAGATGTTCCTTTTGGAAGAACTGCCAAAGCTTGGTACTTTTTTCTTTGCATCAGTTAGGAAAAAAGGCATGTACAGGGTTTCTCTCAAATGGAATCCCAAACTTTTTTCCGTTTCACTGGCATCTAAATTGCTATCAGAGGTGAAATTGCTTCCTGGTGAAATGAGGAGCGTCCACATGGTCTGGTGTTCAAGACTGGCTTCCAGTGCTGCGGTCATTGCCTTTTCTTGCAATATCTAGTGAATAAATATTTGTAATGATTCAAGGATTATCTTCCCTTCTCTGAAGTTTAATAACAATAAAAAAATGCCAATGTAATAATAATAATAAAAAAATAACAGTTGTTCATTTAATAGAAAAGTGGAAGGTGGGCAGAATATTCATCTCTGATGTCATGAGGATGGAGCCAGACTCTTCTCAGTGGTGCCCAGCAACAGGACAAGGGGCAATGGGCACAAACTAAAACATAAGAGGTTTCAGTTGAATATGCGGAAGAACTTCTTTACTCTGAAGGTGACAGAGCACTGGAACAGGCTGCCCAGGGGGGTTGTGGAGTCTCCTTCTCTGGAGATATTCAAAACCCGCCTGGACGATGTCCTGTGCAACCTGCTCTAGGTGAACCTGCTTTAGCAAGGGGTTGGACTAGATGATCTCCCAAGATCCCTTCCAACCCTTGCCATTCTGTGATTCTGTGATCTGGGTTTACTGAGGAGCTGATTATGACCATCTCCACCATGACTTTGCCAACTAACTGAATCCCTGATGGCCCCGCTGCCAACACACCTCTGCCAACCCTGCAGACATGGTTCCATCAGCATTTTCTCAAATTAAAATGAGAATGGCAGGAATTGGGTCTTGCACTGTTTACAGTGAAAAAAAAGTACATTCAGAAAGTTGTTTTTCTTTTCATGTTTACAATACTGTCATTAATAAACCAGTTGTCAGATTCTGTAAATCCTCAGCTTTTCACAGGCTCATTGCTTGATCTATCCAATGTCTATCTGCACGTCCCAGGACTCTCAGCTAGCTCAAAGACGCCTTTGAAGTATTATGATAGCTCATGAGCATAGTGGCCTGCGTTTTGGTCCAAGTTCATTAGAGATGAAAGAAATCCACAGGACAGGGGAAAAGCAGATGGTGGCTAGGACTTCCCTGCTTTCTGGCTCCTGGGAATCAAGCAGACAACACGAACTGTAATCCAATTAACTACACCCTTGAGGCAAAAACTAGGGAATAAAAAGCACCTACTGACAGGTCCCAGCAGGACAGGGAACCAAGAAGGCATGATGGGCACATCATGGTGTAGAACAATAGAAGACTGCAAAGCAAAACCACTACCACTTGCATCGGTAAGTAACTCTGCTACTCTACGCTCACCTTGGGAAAAAATATAAACAACAACAAAAAAACCCACCAAACAAAAGTGCAATAATTAAAGGAGGAAAGAAGGAATTAGGACTTCTCCTTACCTTTTGTCCATAACCTCCAAGTTAAGAACCCAAAACTCGGAGCAAAAGGGAGTTGGAAGGGAGATAATGCTAACAGCAAGAATGGCTATTGCCTGACATATTAAATTATCTAAAAGGCAACTTTCCCCACCAAGTTTCTTAAAAATGGAGACAGTGCAAAATGTTTACTTACTTGCCAAATCTAGCAGCTATGTTAAAGCAATCAATAGCATTAAGAGGTGCAAGAAAAATGGCAAAAATATCAAACTGATAAAACTAGCATTGACAGTATCAACACAGTAATAAGAAATACTTATATAATCAAACTATCCACCTGGAAAGAAAGAAAGATCAACACAGAAGTGATATTCACTACTCAACCTTCTCTTTCAATCTTTTATTTCATTGGCGGCCAAAGTCAGAGAGAAATGCATAAAATACACAGAGCATACATAAAACTAGGGCAAGGCTTTAAAGGATCCTTATGGCCTTCAGTCCTTTGCCTCAAAGCAAGCGTAGTCTTTGATTTTGCCTTCATCAAGACACATACACTTACAGGTCTGGGGGATTTTTATTCCATTCTACAGAAAAATTGTTCCAATTTACACATAACCAAAGCATGGAAGCTATTACAACATGCTGGCGTACCATCTTTCTCCTTCCTCTTCTACTAAGCTTGGAAGATACTTATTTTCAAAGAGAATTAATCCAAAGCCTTCTGAGCAGTGAAGGCAGACACCGCTCCTTGTCTGCACCGGGGAGACCAATCCACTGCAGCAGCTTTCAGCTGCCTCAGCTTTACCTATGCCAAAACAGAGAAAATGTCGGCACATGGGTCCGTACAGTAGAGCTTGATTACCTCTATTGCTATGATGGTCTCTGGCAGATGGTGGGAGCAGGCAGCCAGGACACAGCTAGTCCATTTTGGAAGCAAGGAGGGCCTGATATGAACATGGTCTTGGGGACAAGAAGTGGGCTTTTGGCAGTTTATTCGCTAATGAAGAGCGAGCTCTCTCCTATGAGCTCATGTACTGTAAGAGCTTTCAGCAACCAGTAGGCATGAACTCAGCAATGAAATTACACCAGTAATTTCAAGTAGGAAATATCTGATTGACTGGGTACAAAGTATGGACAAGACCACCTGCAGTCAGGTGTGACAGTTCCTTTAGCCAGAGGACTTCCTCCATCCTGCCTCCATCTGTCTTCATTTAACAACAACAACAACAATAATAATAATAGTACTGTTGGTCATGGCCTCCTTGACCAACTGACATACTCAACAGGTTCCCTGCGAGTGGAATGGAAGCCTGCATATAATCATCCAGACTGCTCTTGTGCTACTGCTTCCCATGGCACGGCTGCAACACTGATAGGGAGAGCTTTTAGTGGGAACAGACTGCACACAGAAGGGTTCACCATATTCATTCCAGTCCTGCTTGAGTCAATTACAAAACCTCTTGATCAAGAGCAAAGCATGACTCAAAATTCTCTAGCATAGAAACTCCAGTAATGGCCTAGCTGCTGTTTATGTTCTTTTCAAACACAGCTGATCTGCAAGTTTTCAGTATCTATACAGAAAAGTTTCTGCAAAAAGCAACAAGTGAACAAAAGAATCACAAAGAACCATAAGGCACATTTCAGATGGATTTTTTTTTTTTTTCTGTATGAACAGGCTACCATTTCTTGCAGCAAGTATCAAGCCTTTGTAAAGCTTTTACCTCTCTTTATGTATTTTTGCTATAGCTTGTTATAACTTTATTTCCAAACCCAGGTATGCTTCAGTGACTTAGCTTGAACCTTCCTTCCGATCCTGTTGATGTTTGGTTCAGAATTCAGAATCCAGTGTCAGAGACACGCACTGACTACGCAAAACCCTTTAATGCTTAAAACTGATTCTTCATACAGCCCATATATGCAATACCTACATACTTAGAAACAATACAGATATATTAAGTAAGTTGACACCTACCTTCCAAGACTGGTAGGTGCCAGATGGATCCGTCTGCTGCAGTTCAGGACTCCTGCTGCCATCAAAGCCCACCATCAGGGCAGGCACACCAAAATGTCTACAGCCATGGCTTTGTGTGCAGCACTGTGGGAAAGCTAACCAGTTTTGGCATCCCAGAAAATTAAGAAATTTACTGGCCCAATACCCAAGCAAAGCACAAGACTGAAAAGGCTGAATACAGGTATTCACCGTAAACCTCTTCATTTCCAATACGTCAACAGCTTACTTCTGATCTTCAGAAGTTAGCTTGTGGTCAGCGTTCCCGTTGCACAACTCCATTCAATTCACACACAAGTAGCTAAGGCAAACCAGGCTTCACTGTAAAGAAACTACTCCCTGTTAAAACCACCCAGGCTACAGGAATTAAGGCTCAATCTGATTATCCTTTAACATGATCTCAGGCATACTTGTGAACAGATTTGAAGGAACATCTCAGATGGTTGCAATCAATCAGCCTGCTCACAGGTGTTCTGCTAGTCTTTAGTATTTGAAAATAAGAATCTGTATCTGCAAGTTTTATGTTCAGTTTGGCCTTTCACATTGCTCTGTTCTGTAGGAGATTTTGTGGTTTTCTTTTTATGTTCTTATCTCAACTCTTTTATATGGTAATATTTTTTGGTCTCTCTGCATTATTATTTCCAAATTGTACAATAAAGTTCTTCACAGATCTATAAATATGAGGAACAGTTATGTTTGCTGGTGCTCCTTAAAATAAAAGAGCTCATAATGGTGATTATTTTCTTGTGAAAACCAGTTATTTTTCTCAAGTGATATTAATTTTTTTTTTTTAAGAATTCGTGCAAAGGAAACTTGACCTGACTTCTTTCTTTTTTAGAGATCATAATAGAAACAATTGGCTTGTTTTCAATAGTCAGGATCACCTGATGCTTTTAAATGGAAACGTAAAAATGTCAAACTGCTTACTTGCTAGCAAGTTGCAAAGCAGTGTGTAGTATATTCTACCATGACTGGGCCCTCAAGAGTCAGTTTATGGCGCTGTTAATCACTATTGTGGCACCAGCGGCCAGGTCTGCATAAATGTAATGATAAAGTCATCACAGAGACTCCTTCGTTAGCTAGCAACAAAGCTCAAGAAGGAGGAAACAATTGCAACTTTTAAAAGTTAGAAACTGCTGAAAAAGCAATGCAGGTGAAGACAGAAACAAATTCAAAACAGCACACAAAAGAAACTTTGTTCTGAGAAACAGCAATTTTGAGTAAATTTCAGGCCATAACAGTTTTTGAGTTTACAGAAGGTTAACTTACAGAATTAGATACGGATTTAGCCCCTCCAAAAACACATATGAAAAGTACCCTGCTCCCTACTGTACTACATGTCATGGTTTTGGTATTGTACAACTCCCTCCACCCCACAGTACCAGGAAATGGGGGTTACACAGACACACACAGAATCACAGAATGGCAAGGGTTGGAAGGGACCTCGGGAGATCATCTAGTCCAACCCCCCTGCTAAAGCAGGTTCACCTAGAACAGGTTGCACAGGACATCGTCCAGGCGGGTTTTGAATATCTCCAGAGAAGGAGACTCCACAACCCCCCTGGGCAGCCTGTTCCAGTGCTCTGTCACCCTCAGAGTAAAGAAGTTCTTCCTCATGTTCAACTGAAACCTCTTATGTTTTAGTTTGTGCCCATTGCCCCTTGTCCTGTTGCTGGGCACCACTGAGAAGAGTCTGGCTCTGTCCTTGTGACATCCACTCTTAAGATATTTGCAAGTATTGATGAGGTCCCTTCTCAGTCTTCTCTTCTTCAGGCTGAACAAGTCCAACTCTCTCAGCCTTTCCTCATAGGAGAGATGTTCCAGTCCCCTCATCATCTTTGTTGCCCTCCTCTGGACTCTCTCTAGGAGTTCCTCATCTTTCTTGAAGTGGGGAGCCCAGAACTGGACACAGTACTCCAGCTGGGTCTCACCAGGGCAGAGTAGAGGGGGAGGAAAACCTCCCTCGACCTGCTGGCCACACTCCTCTTAATGCACCCCAAAATACCATTGGCCTTCTTGGCCACAAGGGCACACTGCTGGCTCATGGTCAGCTTGTCATCCACCAGGACTGCCACGTCCCTCTCAGCAGAGCTGCTTTCCAACAGGCCAGCCCCCAGGCTGTATTGGTGCATGGGGTTAAACCTCCCCAGGTGCAGTACTCAACACTTGTCCTTGTTGAACTTCATCAGGTTCCCCTCCGCCCAACTCTCCAGCCTGTCCAGGTCCCACTGAATGGCAGCACAGCCTTCCGGCGTATCAGCCACTCCTCCCAGTTCTGTGTCATTGGTGAACTTGCTGATGGTACACTCTGTCCCCTCATCCAGGTCATTGATGAATAAGTTGAACAAGACTGGGCCGAGTACTGAGCCCTGGGGAACTTCACTAGCTGCCGGCCTCCAACTAGACTCAGCACCACTGATCAGAACCCAAAAAGCTGCGAATTTCTTCTGTCACTTGGAATCCCCTTCTTGGGGAGCAGCTCCATGTTCAGCATCAGCCAATTTAAGAGCACACTGCTATCAAACTGCTATCAAAAGAGGAGATTCTCCCATCTCTTGTCCCTCACTGCATCTTCTCATTCTCTCCCTGTGTTAGGTAAGATGAGCTGTTCTGCAGCTGTTAAGTCAGATCAGTGTGTTGACCCAACTCAAAACTAATTCTTTTTTGACAAGTTGAGTCTTGGATTGAGTCTTGTTTTCATCCCTTCTGAAAGCATGCAAAGAGAACAGTTTCACATCCTGATAGCATGACCTAACACAAAAAGCAGCAGTTCTGTTCTTCCCAACCACTTCCACACAGACATTCCTGCAGCTTCCCCTGAACTGGATTTAACAATCACACAAATTTGTGGCAACTCACCCAAAAAAGAACTCACCTTGTGTCAGATCAGTGAGTTCAGGACTATTTTCTTCAGTAGCAGCTTGCATGCACAGTAGGTTAGGTATAACAACAAATTGTACACTCGGTGGGTGTTAATAATGGTTTGGCCACCAAAGAAGGACAGTTCCATCTCCTCCACCAACTTCTTCCTTCACTCCTCCCTTCCCTCACAGAGTTATGGGGTTCATACAGTTGCACACTGAATCAATTCAACAAGCAAATAAAAAGAGTTTCTTTCTGTGAGGTTCATGAGTTCAGTCAAACCACAAGGGGTCAAAGAAGCATCAGAAAGGGTACCAGGGAGGAGATGAAAGTGCCTAGGTTACAGCAGAGACAGGAGGAAGAAGTGGCACCACCCAGGAGCACAGACTCATGTGAGAGTTTAGGCTGATCTAAGTAAGTGCTAGTGTGGCTCTCCTCTGTGAATTGCTCCCCTTTCCCCTGAGCCTCTGCTTGCTCTCGCCAGATCTTGGTCTGATCCTGCAAGAAACTTTTTCTTCCTGGCTTATCCCTCTGCTGGGCAGGCTTCCAGCCTGGCTTACCATGCCTCAGATGGGCAGCAAACCCAGTGCAGAAGTGACAATGGAAGAGCACAGCCCCGAGTAAGACCTTTGACTTGCAGTGGCAACTAGCCACTGACTACCAGTCAGTTTAGTGGTCATATAGAACTGTATGTTGAGATGAGACATACACTTTAGGCAATTTTGCTAACCAATTTGCTGAGTTCCCATGCGGTTTTGCCTTCATTCAATCCTCATCTGAAGGAAAATATTCCTTGTGAAGGCAAACATTCACAAGTGTTAGTTCATATATGGAACAGGGGTCTCATAAATGAGACGGGCATGTCAAGAGGTAGTTTCTAGGGCAGAGGAGGAGCATGGCAGCACAGATTCAAGTTGTCTTCCAACTCCCCAGGAATATTTCCAATATCATCCTGGTTTGTTCTGCAGAATTTGTTCTCTAGGTTTGCCTTTCTTGTCCCTTTCAGTCTGCCTATTGCCATTGCAACCACTACAACGCAGCTTCTGCTATCCAAGCGGCTTGTCCCTGATGACAAGATGCAACAGACTCAGGTAAGATGATTTAAAAAAAATAGAGGGATCAGTAGGTTTTAAAAATCAAAATAATTCTCTCTGGCCCCATAAGAATCTTTCAGCTATATTTCAATACTTTATATAGGAACCCAAGCCTTCATATCCCAGTACCAATCTCCTAAACCACCGTGTCCACCTTCACAATGTTCTTCATAAATCCAGTCTTTAAAGGACTTTTACATACTCCATACCTGCAATGGAATGAATTGTGGAGCAATAACACTAGGAACAGTATCTGCAAAAGCCAAACAGACATGATCATCAAGTGCATACCTTTTCCTCACAGTTCTGTCCTCTTGAAGCCTGGTAACAGGGTTTTTTTTCTGTGTATCCAACAGAGCTGTATCTAACCCCCAAATTCCAACCTGTTAGATGAGAATAAAGAAATTGTTCTTATTTCCAATATTAACTTTATTTATGTTATTCAGAGGAGATGTTTTAATACTAAGTCTTTTCACAAGGACATTGTCAAACAGCTATGTGGAGGCTGTGTCATCCTCCCAAAACAATAAATAATAATGTTTGACATCTGTTAGGAAGGAAAAATGATAAGCTGCGGTAAACATCATAGCAAAAAGTTTCAAAGCTGCAAAAGCTGTGGTTTACAAATACAGTACAGAGAGGCAGCCCCCGAACAAAAGGCTTACAACCAAAATAGAGAACAAAGGAAATAAGGTGGTTACAGACACAAGAGCTCAGGGAGATAGCAAGGCAACACAGATCAATGTGATAAGTAGTATTCTCAGTATACTTGCTGCTTATAGGTGCAATCATGGCTAAGCTGATCTAAAAGCTGACTGCTAACAAAGAAGGGTGATGCTGCTCCAGCCTTGTGCCCCAGTAATTGTCTTCCCTTGCTTTGACATCAAAACCCATCTGCTCCCAATCTGTGAAACTCAACAGGCAGAAAACTGCTTTTATAGAAAAGCAATTGTTTTTCTACTAATTTAGCTTCCTTAAACACCTCACTACAAGATCAGATGAGCAAAAGTGATGGCACAGGAGACAGAGTGGGAACACGTGGCCATGAGCATAGAGGGGGCAAAGGAAAAACGTTGCTTTTGGTAACAGCTAGCTGCAAGGTTTACTTAGCTGTAAGATAATGCCATACTGCAACTTAAATGCTGCCACTGGTTTCATAGGTATTTTGGTGGGGAACAGTTTTGAAGGCAGACAATGATGTACCATGGACATTTACAAGAAGCTCCTTTCATATCCACAGGTAGAAAGAAAGATGAAGACAGCTGCTTTGAAAACTTCTAAGAAAGACTAATGGAAAGGATGTTAGGGTGAGCATCTCAGGGGCAGATAACTTTGTTTCTTTCTCAGTTGGTTTGCAACTCATCATTTCTCCTCATAAAACCTTTTTCTTTGAAGACACAAATCAATGAACACTGAAAAGGAAAGATAAACTGACCAGCAGTGTGTCAGATCTGACAGTGGGCTGAAAATAAATGAATGGTATGATCAATGACAAATAAACTAGGATTTCAAGCTGAAAGTCTCAAGTATGACTGAAATAGCACATAAGCATCCCCTCCCTCCTTTGCTTTCTCTGTCTTCCTCAGAGATGATCTCCTACCAACATTAAGGAATTGATGCAAAAGAGGGCTTACAGGAACACACAAGTAGTCCTTTCCTTGCAGAAATTTATCATTTTATCCAGTACTCAAGAAAGAAAAGCTCCCTGAGTACACTGCATACAAACCTCATCCCTTTTTACACAACTTCCTTGTAATAAATATTTCCCTTGTCACTTAAGACCAAAGCTTTGCCACATCAAAACCAGTATCAAACTTCTGTTTCTGTGACTACTTTATATAAAAGTACACAGAGGCTAAAATAGTACACAAATGAATGCAGAAAACTGTACATTATATTAAAAAGACAGAAGCTGATAAGAGTAACAGACTATGGTTTCATACTTCTACTATAAAATGTGTGCTCTTTACAAAAATCCAAACCAACAGGTACATACAATCCAGCCATCAATTCTACTTGTTTTAGAGCTCATATAACTTCCATTTTAAATAGGCCAGCAAAAGTTTTCATGGGCAATTTCTTGTTACGTTTTCAATCCACTACAAATTTTGTCCTCTGTTCTAGCCCTACAATCTATTACTTTGCTTAAAAAAATAGAATTGAACCAATAAATATCAATAAGCACAGGAGGTTTCATCTGCTTCTGTTCACCAGATTTGACCACTATGTCTTCCACTTGGCTCTCCTCATCATAATTTCCAATTAATTTCATTTTTTTGTTGTCTATCCCCAGAGAGCAAAATTACCTCTATTCTTGATTCATGGGTTATAATTTCCTGTCTGTGCCTGTGTCTAACCAACTTTTCAAGTTGATGCTGACCAAACACTATGAGGAAGTCTGGCAAAGACAAACATCAACGAAAAATAAAATCTATACTTAATATTTTCAATAAATACAGAAGCCCTGAATCCTAAAAAACAGTTCCAAACTGAATTCTTCCCCACAGGTAAATCAGCAGGGTAAAATGATGTATCACATATGGCAGAAACAAAGGCCCACTCTGAATGAGTAGCAAAGAATGTAGCATTTAGAAAACTGCATAATGAATTTACTTCAGCAACAGTACCTTATTCCTGAAAAAATATATCTACAGTAATATGTTAACATGTTTAGAAAGTTATGCAAAATGACATTTTATCTTTAACGAAGACTAGAGGTATTTAATTACAAAATGTAGGCTGTGGTGTTGAACAAAATACTCCTTTTTTATTCCAATAGAATCAATATAAGAGAGGCTCAGGTATTATTATGGCCCACATTCCCATCAGCAAGGCTTCTAACTAGTCTTTTAATTTAGAATTTTTCTTACTGATATCCCAAGCAAACTCGATTTGATTTTCAGAGAGATTTAATAGTAAGATACATTGCTATTTTATGTACAAAAGAATATAAAGCAATTATGGAATAACACTGTGATACTTTCCTAGAGTACCTTTTTTGACTAGAGTCTTGCTTTAAAATTTCATGCTGAATAAAAGGAAAAGATGGGAAGTGGTAAAAAAGCTTTGCTATGTCCTTAAAGCAAAATAAATACTAGAAATCAAGAGTTATGGGTTTTCTTTTCTGGTTTCATATGTTGCTTAGAGAAAATTATAGCCAATTGCTTTTTGTATGGCAGTTCAAAGGCAGTTTACCTATTTCTAGCACACACCCCTTGTTGCTCTCAGTCTAAACCAAGGGAAGACCAAGGCCTACAGTTCCTGCTCGGAAAACACCAACTTCTCCCTGTGGATGCAATCTCCTGTTTTGTACCCTGGGACCCTGTCCTCACAGACTGCGCTCACATGAAGCATCTTCCTTCTCCTCCCTTCTGCTCCTGCTTGAAAAGAATCACACATGCATAGGTACATATTATACATACATATATTTTATATATATATGTTTACAGTAATTCAAGTTAGAGACAGCACCATTCCAAGCAACCATTCATTGTACCAGCACAGTCTATGTTAGAAATTTAGACTAGATAAAGGAAACATTTCAAAATGTCATAGTTATTTTTTGTAGTTATTTTCTTGGCTCTTGAATATGCATACTTACCCGGTTACTGTATTTCCACTGATGATGGGGCTACTCAGGACAGAAAGAAATAAATGAGTAAACTTTTACAGGAAAGGAGTTTTGGCCTTCAGTGAATCATGGGACTTTTGAGTGGTCCCAATGACTAAATTGTTGCATAAATACCAAATACAGAAATGGAAACAAAGAAATGGGGCCATGTCTGGAAGGATGAATACTGGGGTACAAACAATGATGTGATATGTGTTCAACAGAAGTTTATTTTGGTTCCTTTTTAAACATTATATAATATGAATATGCTATATCTGTCATTCCAAGCTAAGAGTAAAATGTATGCATCATGCATATAAGAAATGTCATAGAACCTCACTCTGCAACTGGATCTCCAGTCATCATAATTTTATCCTTGAAAACACTTGAAAAGTGGAAGAAAGCAAGCAAAAAGCAAGAATCCCACAGACATTAAAAGTGGAAAACAATAAATATACATTCGATACAACTAGATTTTAGTTAGGGGATATTTTCCCAAATTGGTTTCAAGCACAGTAATGCTGTGCTTTGTTGTCACCGAGGTGCTGTGTAAGAGAAATGGCACCACTGGTTATTAACTGTGACAAGACTACCTCTATAATCTATTTTTGGTCAATATAACTGTATTCCCTGCTTTGTATTTCATTGTATAATTTATTATCTTTTATTCATCAAAAGAATTAATCTTTTATGATTTTAAGACCTTCTGATAAAATATACAGTGACTTTGAGATACACTATGTATAGAAAGTTAAAGAACACCACGTTAAATGGCTAATTATTGTTCTTCTATGATTTAAAAAGCAATATATAAAGTGTATCAACAAAGAAAACAGACAGAAGAGGACAAAACCAAATGTCATTTATGAGACAGCA